TATGCCCATGCAGCACTAAAATTAATCAAGAGTTAACGCGATTAATTTCACAGCCCTAATAATAATAATAATAATAATAATATAAACATTTGTTCTTAATCATCAGAAGTGAAGCATTTGAATGGGCAGAATCTGTGGAGCAGGAACATCCACCATTCATCAACCAACCACCACCATCCATCACCATCTCTTCCAGCTGTTCTGGGAGGACTCCCAGGTGTTCCCACACCAGCTGAGAGACAGTCTCTCTAGTGTCCTGGGTCTTCCTTGGAGTCTCCTCTCAGATGGAAATGCTTTAAGCACCTCCTTGGGGAGGTGTCCAGGAGACATCCTTACCAGATGAACCACTTCTTCCAGCTCTCCTGGAGGGTTGGAGACACTGGTTTCTGCTCCGGTTCAGCACAGTGAAGCAGTGGTTACAGATGTGGCCTCACAGAATCACCTCCTGATCTGGAGCCATGGACCAGGATCACAGATCAGGATCGTGCAGGTTAACTGATGAGTCTGAATCACTCAATATGAGTGGTTGTTGGTCTTGTTTACCTCCATGTGGTCTTGCAATGGACTTGTGGTAGACTTCAGTCAGGTTCTGGACTTCTACTCGGCCTTCGTAGAAACTTCATTCTCTTTCTGACCCCTTCTGTTGTAGAGCAGCTGCTGTGTTTGGGATCATAGTTCTGCTGGACCCAGTTTGGACCAAACTTCAGCTGTCAGGTACATTCACATTTGGATCTAGAACCTATTGGTTTACAGAGGAGTTCACGATCCACTTGTCAAACCATCAGACCTCCACCACCGTGCTGACAGCTGGAGGAGACATTCACTGCAGTGCATTCTGGGTAAACATCTGTCCTCYGGTCTGGTTCTAGTCATGAAGTCTTGTGGTTCCTTCAAAGTTTCCAAAGCTCAGATGAGAAAACCAAAGYAAAACTTGAGTTTATAGAATTGAAATGAATGTTTTAGAATAAAATCAGACAAGTGACAAAAACTGTTCATAAAAACGTTTTATTGATGTAAAAGTGATTTAACTTTTTATATAAAACTGATTATATTGTCAGGCAAATATAAATATGAAACATTTTTTTGGGGGAAAAAAAAGTACAAGAAGATCATTTATCCTCTCATCTGTGAATAGGAACTGTTTTCCCCTCAAATAAAACAATGAAAGTGCCTGAAATGTTGATTAAAATCTCATCGTGTCAAATAATGTGAGTAAATAATTACCTTTAGTCTTATAATTAAAAACAGTTTTATTTACTGTAGTTTCTCATCAGGAAAYTGAACTGTGAGGTGGCTCAGCTGTCATAGATTACTGAAGAGGCGGGGCAACAGGAATGTGGGTGGAGCCTTAACACAGGTCACTACAGACAACAACACAGTCGCTAAACAGACAAATTCACTTTAAAGGAATGTTTCAGACATTTTGGAGTGGGGTTCTGTAAACACYATTAACAATGGATATCTTACCTGTTACCTCTTTGAACCTCAGTTTGAACCTCAGTTTGAAAAAAAAAACAGAGTTTAGTTCTGATGGGACTGATGAGCTCACGGCTAGTCTGAATGAAAAGTGGATTGCTGCAAATTGGTAAAATCTCYAATATTTAACAGCAGCTAAATCCAGGCTCTCACTGAGCTGCAACAGCTAGTAGTGGAGAGTAGTGTCAARCAGCAGTCATAAATGCGTCTTCTAAATGTCTCAAACCAGCTTTCATTYAGYCAACACACAAGCTGTAACTCCTTRAGATAAAACATCAGATGACACAGGGTCCAGGTCTAAAACTATACCTAGGACTGAATAATATTTTTAAAAAACTGGACTAAATCTGTTCATCTTCTTTTCTAAAGTGTTCTCCAAAAGATTAGATCAGAAACATCAACCTGGCTGCAGGTGGACTGACAACAAAATAATGTACRCAGCCTTGAATAAAAAATATGTTCTGTAGGGTCTGAACACAGAAATAAACCTGTTATTTAATGYGCTGCTTAAAGTGGGATATTRTGTATTTTCCAAGCACATAGTTCAATTCTGTACCACAAACAAGAAACTGCTACCTTCAGTTGTTATGAAAATGCTGTAAATATCAAAATGAGACTTTATGATTTTGCATCACAGTCTATGTAAACACCTTCATGTTGGCATCAGTCTCTTTAAGAACCTGCACCTCAGCTGTCTTCACAACAATGCTTCGGGGGAGGGGTGCTCTGTAGGGAGGAGCTATGTACAAACAGGCGGTGCTTTGTACCAGCAAGCATTTAGAAAGCTCCACATGGCTACCACAGGTTTTCTCAAACATGCATGAAGGAGACAAAGCAACACTCTGGGTGTGTTTTTAAAAAGGGAATAACATTATAACATAAAGCCCAATAAAGTAGAATTTTCATACTGTGCTTGTCTACAACGAAACACTGTTTTCAGAGCAGCTGTTGGCTCATCAGTCCTGTTAGAAGAAAAATATTTATCCAAACTGAAGGTAAAAGAAGTTTTCTACCATACCCAACATTAAAATATTGGAAATACCCCTTTAAACCATGTTGCACTCAGTCTACAGACTGTGCTGTCACGCATCTTATTTTGAAACAGGGTCACCAATCAAACGTTTTATTGTGCAAAACCCAAACAACGAGTCAGTTAGAAACTGAAGTGATCCCTTAAAACATTTCATCAAGCGGCTCTGAGCCGGCCTCTCTGATCCACGTCTGCAGACCCAGACTCTTCCAGTAGATCATCGGTATTTAGGGCTGTGTAGTCATGACAACAGACTGGTGCAAAAATCAGGAGGGAGCAACAAAGAGCAGACACAGCCCGTAAACTGAGGCTCTGCTGCCCCCTGCAGGAACACTTGCACCATGACAGCCTCCAGATCAAATGACTGGTTCTGGGCGGGCCACGTTTCAGAAGAATTACTGTACAGGGCATTTTTCTAATCTTCACACACTGATGATGACCATCCCTCATGATTCTTTACCCTTCAGTCAGTTTGTAAATTTATAAACGGAGTCATTATTCATCTGTGTGTCTGCAAACTGCTGCTGCTTTTACTCATTAAAACAAGAACACTGAAAAACAAGTTGGTTTGTAAGAGTGCAAAAACTCATCTGGAAAGATGATGAACCTTATCTGTCACTCACACACTCACACTCACACAAACACACACACACACACACACACACACACACACACACACACACACACACACACACACACACACACACACACACACACCTTTGTGTACAAGCAGGACCCGGTTTTGGTGTCCATGCTAATGGACCTAGAGGACGACGCAGGGACAGCCACCTCTTTTCTGTTTCTCCGTCTGATGAGCTGGAAGAGGAGGACTCTCCTGCTCCTTAAACCGTCTGAAAGAAGAAGAGAGGAAACTAAATCAGTCCATCAAGTCCACATCTTCCACCACAACACATCTGTACACATCTTTCTCCCTTGTCTGGACAACACCTRAAGAACGTGCACCTGACACATGTTCTCAGAGCAACATTTGTAAAGAACATTTCACCTCCTTGGTTTTCTGCGCACAGTTGATAAAAAATGAATTCATCTTCTCTGCAGCAGTGTTGTGTTGTTTCAAATGAACCATGAATGGTTTGTATGGGTTATGGTGAGTGGGCCCATTGCTCTTCCCAAAAAAGACACTGGTCTTTAATCAAACCTTCTCGTCCCTCAGATGAAGGACACCAGGTTAGAAACACTCAGTGTTCTGAGCTTCTCAGGATCCATAAAGGGGTCCCTAAGAATTATTTTCCTTTGACCACTCAGAGTCAGGCAGTGGTCTATGTAGTGCAAAGATGTCTCTAATTCAATGCCGCAGGCATCACACAGACCATTGACATGGAGTCCCATCACAATTTTGTGTTGGTTGAGCAGATTGTGCCCAGTTAGGACTCCAGCCAGTGTACTCAGAGTTTTCCTGGTCAGGGAGATGAGAGCTTTCCCAAAACCTAACCTTGGGTCATTTATCAGTTCTGTGCCTGTCTACAGCCTGTCTGCTTCCTGCAGCAGATTGAGTGTTGACGTCTAATCCAGGTCTGTAGGGCAGTCCTACAGACTGAATCATGTAACTGAAGAAATATCTTACCAATGAATTACTGTRGTTATGTTGGAAGGAAGAAGTTTATTATATAAACAGTAGTATTATGTTCAGCAGAGAGGAGAGGTTGCAGAAATTCTTTATCATTTCCTGCTCCTAACATCTGAATGAAGCTGGACGTTTTCTTCATATAGAAATATAAATTATTTTAAAAAGGCATTACTAACATAACACCAAGGGCAACTTACACAACACTGCAGCAGCACAAGTCAGTTTTTCCTTGTATCCATCTCCTCCTCAGACATGTGGCTCATTAAGACCTGAGCCGTTTATTAACACTTCTGTCAACAATGTGTCAAAAATAAAAGTCTGCAACAACAGTTATTTTGTACTTCTGTGACTTTCTGTTCCAGCTTTATATATAGAAATACACAAATACAGTCAAATGCAAGTGCTAATATTTAAGTACTTGCCAATACAGAATCCTAATACYACTAGTACTAGTTCTAATAAATGCCATCACACTTCTTCTAATTACTTTAAAATGAGTTAAAACCCAGAGAAGCTTACTTTTTAAGGTAACTCTTTAAACAATAGCAGGACAGTAACTGTCTCTCTAACAGAACCTGTATGAGGAGTCAGACTGTAGGGAAGTTCATGTTCAGATTCATATACTCCCAGAATCCTCTGCTTCTCAATGATACACTATTTGTTTCCAGCTGATTTTACGTGTTTTTACCTGTGCGAGTGTGTTTTGCTTGTGTCTGTTAGCAAAGTATCTCATGGACAGAATTTAATGAAACTCTCAGAAAGGAATGGCTGTAGCAAACACACAATGCTTAAAACTCCATCAGTTCAACAGATATTGTGTGATAGAAGGATAAATAAATTCTATTTGACCTTTGTGTCTGGTGTGAGCTTTTGCTGCTGTGAATCTCTGTCCTATTGGCTAAATATTGCATTAGCATAAAAACACAACCTCAAACCTCTTCAAATACACTAACAATTATTGCACTCCAAGAAGTCCTTTACGATGTGAATATTGCACACACTGATATTGCAATGATATTTTCATTATATACTGTTGCAGCCCTATGCAGTACACTGTAAGGGAGCTGGTCACAATGCTTTCAGCTGTGCATCTACAGTTGTACTTTCCATGTTCGTAGGGAGTCCAAGTGTTTTTGTCCTTCCATCAACAGATGGTATGTGTTCTTGTGTCAGGAGAGGTAGACTCCAGGAGCTTAGGGTGGACTCGTGCTTTCTGACCACACCCACCACAGTGATTTCCTCTGACCCTAACACTGATGTTGGATTCATTACAGACAAAGGTGAACAGGGAGCAGAACAAAGGACTGAACACACATCCTTGTGGCACTCCTGTGCTCAGCTTTAGAGTTTAGGTGAGGTCATCCAGTCTAACAGACCAAAAGGAGCTGTTTGTAATGTTTGATGTGGTAGTTGCTGAGAGTCATCTCTAACACATACTCTGAGTGCAAACAGACGTCACAACATTTTTAAGGTTTGACCAAAATGGTTAAAAATCTCTTATTTCCCATCACTAGATGATCTTAGTTACAAACTCTGAATTACACAAACATTTAGGGAATGCTGGGCTTAAATATGGAGCTAAATTGGGGTCACAAGTTTAGTTCAAAAAAGTTGTTGAAACTGAAAAAAAGAGATTTGAAACTGAAAAATAATTTAGAAACTTTGATTTAATTAACTTTTTTCAGTTTTTAAATTTTTTTCGGTTTCATTTTTTTTCCAGTTTAAAAATTATTTTTCAGTTTCAAAAACTTTTTCTTTTGATCAAAACTTATGACCCCAATTTAGCACCATACTTAATTTTTAAATAAAATTTTATAACTTCTGCCTGAGAGAACTTAATCTTCTCCAAACTGACACCCTGCTGTAAAATCCAGCTGTGTCCTAACAGTGCTGCTGTTCTCTTCAGAAATTGTGCATAAATTGCGGAACAAGGACATTTAAAGAAGATCTCTGACTTTTTGACATGAAAATAAAAAGATAAAACAGTTCTTCAGGTGCCTCCAGCCAGCCTGGAAGCTAACGAGAAGACAAACTTCAAAAGGTTCTACCTGATGATCTGCACCAGCTCCAGGAAGGCTTCATCCACGTTGTAACGATTCTTTGCTGAAGCTTCCATATAGTGAATCCTGTTGTCACTAGCAAAGGCCTGGGCATCCTCCCTGGAGATCTGTGGACACAATATTTAGTCCTTAGTCCAAAAACTAGTCTCAGGCTGGTCTCAGGTCAGACTCAGTCCAGTAACCAGTCTGAAAAAAGACTCATACAGAGCCTGTAGGACTCAGAGTCGGTCCAGTAATCAGATATACAGTATGTGCTCTCTGAAGCCACACAAAGCTCCATGAAAAACTCAAAAGGCTGGAAGAAACCAATATTTAGACTCTACAGCCTTGAAGCAGAACTCAGCTGAGTTAATCTGGAGTAAAACACATTAAATGTGTGACGCACATCTACCTTGTTTTTTAAAAATGATAAGTTAACTCAGTTTAGTGATCCTCTTAACTAGTTTTTTAATTAGATGCAAAGTTACTGTTCCTCATAGTGGAGCTTCACTGTGTAATAAAACTGTTGCAGTTTAATCCTGGTGCTGGTCACACTCATAAGATGTCATGACTTGAGCCACTGTGTTGGATTATCTTTTCACATGTTGACTGATTCTCATCAGGGCGGGCTGACTTCAAGCCCCCCACACCGCCTTGAGGTGACCAGAACACATGTCAGTCCTGGACTGAGGAGTCTTGTGAAAGACTCTGAAGTGCCGCTGCTGAGGTCCAGGAGGTTCTTACCACTCTTTGCTGTTCCAGGTCAGCCTTGTTCCCAACCAGCACCATGGGGAAGTCATCTCTGTCCTTCACTCTCAGGATCTGGGTGTGGAACTTCTGGACCTCATGATAGCTGTTGGGAAAAGAAGCAAAGAGGTCACAGTAAATATTAGTACACATCCACATGGACACTGGGCTACACAGAATGAGGCACCATGAACAGGAAGTGCCAGGGGTGGTTCTAGGGTTGGGGCCACAGGGGCATTGGCCCCAGCTGAAATTTGATTGGCTCCCTGACGTGACCCTGTCCTGTGAGTCATCTGACATTTGCCTGAGAGTGATGATTGTAGATACAGTTCCATGTTCAAACATTAGTGGTGCTAATGAGTTAAATAGTAAAGTCCATCATGAATCAAGCTTACAGAAGTCCTCACCTCTGTTTAAGAAAATTTGAACAATCCTTCGGAAAAGGTCTTTACAAATGTATGTAAAATTGTTAAGGATAATTTACTGAGAAAGTCAAAAAAAGAAAAAATCAGTAGGTCCTCTGGATGGGTTCTTCTTTAGTGAAACGTTTCGTCTCTCCTCCAAGAGACTTCTTCAGTCTGATGAGTTTCAGGTGAACTCAGCCTTAAAAGCACTGCCTCCATCTGGACAAACAGGTTAGTCACATGCTTAAGAGGGCCATCGCCTAACAATGAGCTTGATTAGCTCTATTTTTCATAGAGGGTCATGTGCCCCATCACCTGACTTATTGGTTTGGATGCTTTGGCTGTGGTTCTTTGGTGTTTTGTTATGTTTTTGTAATGAGTGCAAGCGGGGCTCGACGTCCCCTTGTTTTTGTCCCTCTTTCCCTCTTTGTGTTGGTTATCATTGGGGCCCTGATTCACACCTTTTGCTCACAGAGGGCTGAGTCATACTTGCAATAACAGCGTTGTAGGAGGAGGACAACTGGACACCAAGACCTCCACCTCTGTTTAATGGTGGATGGTTTTTCTTCACAAAGATGGCTTCCTTTACTCCTCTTTCAAACCAACGTTCCTCTCTATCAAGGATGAGAACATCTTTATCCCTGAAAGAGTGACCGCTGGCCTGTAGATGACTGTAAACTGCAGAGTCCTGACCCGATGAAGTAGCTCGTCTGTGCTGGCTCATTCTTTTGAACAGTGGTTGTTTTGTTTCCCCGATGTATAACTGATCACAGTCCTGACGCTTAACAGCATATACTATATTACTCAGTTTTTGCCGGGGAACTGGATTTTTGGGGTGCACTAATCTTTGTTGTAATGTGTTTTGGGGTTTGAAAGCCACTGGGATGTCATGTTTAGAAAATAAACGTCTCAGTTTCTCTGAAACTCCCGCCACATACAGAATGACGACTGGTTTGGGTCTGGGTTTAGGGTCTTCATTTTCAGCTGGCTGTTGGCTGGAATCCTGTTTGGCTTTCTTGTCTGCTTTCAGAAAAGCCCAGTTAGGATAACCGCTTTCAGAAAAGCCCAGTTAGGATAACCGCACTGCTCCAGGGCCTGTCTTGTGTGTGACTTCTCTTTCGCCCTGGCTCCTGTGTTTGTGTATGTTCTCATCCTTGATAGAAACTCATCCTTATGAGTTTGTATTGAGGATGACTCCCAGTTACTACTACCACAATAAATTTAGCTCATTATATCAGCTTGATAGATATATTTTGCATTGGCTAAAGTCAATCAGCTGTGACAGCCATCTTGAATTGACACAAAAAGTAAATCAGTTGTGGTTGTATATCCAATGATTACTTTCTGAACATTTCATTCATATCTGTATGAGAGTTCATCAAGTATTTTGCTAACAAACAACAGACACAGACAAAAACATCACTGTCCTTTTCCCCTTCAACATCATGCCATTAAAATGTTATAAAACTAACAAATGTCTCCACAAAACTCCCACCAGACGTGTGTTATCCTGTAATCTGCCTCTACAAAGGATGAATTCTAATTATTGTGGTTTGATTTAGAAACTGACACTCCTTTTATTTTTGCACTCTGTGGTTCAGCAAAGCCTTCTTCTGTTACTTCATAACCAGAGACAGAGTCCACTCCCATTAACACACACACACACACACTCTTAAACACATTCTTGTATTTGCATCAAACTGAGGACATTGTATTGACTTCCATTAATTAATGTAACTGTATTTATGCTTAACCCAGATATTTACCCTAAAATTAACCATTACCGGTCTAACCCTAACCTGAACCAAAGCTTAATTCACACCATACCTCTAAACCTAACTAGAAGAGTGCAGTAGAGCTGCAAAAAGGGCGAGGACCTGGAAAATGTCCGCACTTTCCAAATATGACCTTACTTTGTTGTTTAGAAATGACGGTCCTCACTCTGTAGCAGAAACAAGTGTCCACATACACACACACATTATTACCTGCCCCGGTCGTTGAGAGCAAACACCAATAGGAAGCCTTCTCCTGAGCGCATGTACTGCTCCCTCATGGCACCAAACTCCTCCTGACCTGCTGTGTCCAAAACTGACACAAACACAAACTAATTAGCGCAGACAAATGCACACAAATACATTAAAAAAACAAGCATAAGAAGATACCAACATTAACTAATAATTTAAAATAAGTTGGAACATTGTTAAGGCCCTGGTTTTCTTTTGCGTAAAGGAGCTGAATATAAACAAAGCCCTTTACAGAGTTTTAAATTACAAACCTTTTTAACGATCATGTACCGTTTTCCTTCCACTTCATAACTAGTCTCTACTTTATGTTCTGTCACATTAAAACCTAGTGAAACACTGAAGCTTGTGGTGGTGATGAGACAAAATGTGGAAAAGTTCAAGGGGGGTGAAAACTTTCTGAAATAGCAGCGAGTCTGAAGAAACATGAGGTCAGAGTGATTCATGTTTTAAACTAAACATCTCCATATGGAGGCTGTTTCAACACTCACTGTATCTACAAGATATTTATGAACTTTCTACAGGACCTCACTTCAAAAGTGCCAATTTAAGCTTTAGCTGTATTTCAGAAATCTTCCCAATTTTATAGAAAAAAAAGGTTCTGCTTTTTCCTTTTCTTTTCCTTTACAAACAGGAAACCCAAGAATGGGAAGGAGCTACTGATATAGAAGAGAAAAATTTAAAACACACCTTTCTCCTGAACTATATGATCTTTATATTTGTTTCTGATTGCTCAGTTATACAGAAACCTTCTCAGATGTAAGACTGGAGGAGCAGCTGAATGATCTGAACGTGGTGAAACAGTAGCAAACCCTACTCTGACACAATTTTCCCAACACAAGTCCTAACAAGGTCATGAATCATCCAGAGAGCAAACACCCAGCCTGAGTCAACCATCACATGATGTCTGAGGAACACTTACTGTCCAGACGGGTCTCCTTTCCGTCCACACTGCAGATCTTGGAGTAGGAGTCTTCGATAGTGGGATCGTAGTCTGACACAAAGTAGGACTGTGRGACACAAGAGAAACACAGTGGGACAATGGGACACAACGAGACAGTGGGACACACAGAGACCATGAAGAACTCATCATCAAAAAGTAATCCTTCAACATAAATCTACAACTCATTAACTGTTGGAGATAATCACCACAACTAACCAACCAGAGCAAACAGCTTTAAATGGTAAATGGACTGAACTTATATAACACTTTATCAAGCCCCAGGAGGTCCCCAAAGTGTTTTACACTACAGTCATTCAACCATCAACACACTAATGATGGTAAGCTACATTGTAGCCACAGCTGTCCTGGGGCACACTGACAGAGGCGGGGCTGCCATGCACCATTGCCCTGCTCAACCCTCTGACCACCATCAGTAGGTAAGGTGGGTGAAGTGTCTTGCCCAAGAACACAATGACTGAGACAGCTGGAACAGGGATTGAACTGGCGACCCTCCGGGTACAGGACAACACCCCTAACCACCTCACCACAGTTGCCCAGCTTTATAAAGAGTATTATTCTATATAACTAAATTACACCACAGGACTAACCAGCCTCTCCAGACTCATGGGTCTAGTTCTATGGTCAGTGGGTCAGCATCTGTTTGGTGAAGACTTTGAGGAATGGTCCAGAAGTTCCAGCTGATAAAAGAAGCTGGATTTAAAAGCTTAAAGTAGATATATCATGCTTTTAATTTTTTCTTTTTCACATTTAAATCATTCAGTTGGGGTCTATGTCTGAATTCACKCCTTCTCTGAGATGTGTCCCAGATCAACTCATTTTCAGGTTGTCTCTTTAAATCCTAATGAGGCGCATCACACTCCGCCCCCTCTATCTTCCAGATGGATTAATTCGTTTTATAGAGGGATTTACGACAATAAAGCAGCACAAAAACACTTCATTTACAAATTAAATAAAAGATGTCTATAACAGAAGACATGTCCATACAGCCTTACATGATGGAACCAGAGTCTGACCCGGAACCAGTGGACAATGAAGACAACCCAACTGTAGCTGGTAAGTTCAGATATTATTTAGAAATTCTCTCACAAATAATTTGACAAAATAGTTTAGAAAACGTCATAGAAAAAAAGATATCTACGCAGCACCGGGAGAGACTAAACTAAACTTTTCTGCAGTCCTAGAGACTCCAAATACACAACAAAATGTACTCATGGATTTAAAAAGTGGATTTTGAATAAGATGTCCCCAATTAAAGCTTTGACAGCTCTTAGAGTTACTAACAGTTTTTGATCTGACTAGCTTTGACTGCTGGACTTTCACAAAATAAACGTAGATAAAAGGTACGATTTAGACTGAGATCAAACTAACTGAAGAATTAAACAAAAGGGTCGAAGATGATAGAAGACAGCGATGAGCCAAGTGTCCCAAGGACCTTCTTCCTTTGGTTTTTAATCAAAAGTGACAAGATGATTCTGTTAGGAGCACATTAAAATTCATACTTCAAATTAAAAATGCAATTTCAATCACTGTATACAGCCTCTGTCTGAGGGGCCTGTTGAGTTTGAACTGGACTGGATCTTGTGTTTGGAGAAAATCAGATCCTCCAGCAACATGTGCCATATGCAAAATTCCAATTCCAAAAAACTTCTGTTGTGTAAAATATAAATAAAAACAGAATGAAATGATTTGCTARTCTTAAATCTATATTTTATTTACAGTAGAATACAGAAAACATGCTGAAATTGAAACTTGTACAATTTTTAGTAAATAAACATAGACATGTTTAATTTTTAGGCCATCAACCCATCTCAAAATGTTGGGACAGGGCAGGGGCAACAAAAGCCTGCCTCTCTTATAGTATGGGGGTGCATAGTGAGTAGATGACACATCTGAAAAAGCTCCATCATTGCAGGAAAGTATTTACAGGTTTTAGAACATCTGTTCTCACCCAGACGACTTTTTCTGAGGAAACCTTGCAGATTCCATCAAGGCCAAGTTAACCTGTATCCATTACAACAAAATTACTCCCTTGTAGAGTCCAGGTGGCGAGCTTAATTCGTCTGCAGTCCAGATTTTTCACCAAACATTTGGTGCATCATGAAACTAGACTATCGGTCACTGATTGGTTTGGGGGTGGACTCACTGGTTGCGTCACAAGAGCTACTCTAACAACAACTCGATCTGCCGTTTGCAATAACAACCCTACCATGTCTATTGTTGCGCTGTTTATCTTTACAGGGTTTTCTACTGTGTTTAATAGTGGCTGGCAAATAGCCTCATGGAGCATAACTGCCACCAGTTAGTAAAGTGTGTGGCAACAGTTTTCGGACTCTGGAACACCCAACTTCCTAAAGAACCCACCCACTAGATCTGTTACTGAAGTGTAATGAAAACCCACCCTAACCGTGCTGAACAGAGTTCAGCCAAGTGGAATCATGCTGTAGAGGTGCTAGTGGAAAGGGCCATAAAAGTCTGGCAAAGAAAACCCAGGACTGCTGAACGGCTAGAATCCTCCATCAGACCAGAACATGCTCAAAAAGTTGTGTACGCCAGGTTCCATGCACACGATGGGATGTATCAAAGCCAACGTTGTGTGAAAGTGTGCGTAAATATACTCACCTTTTACCTGCCATGAGAACATGCGGACAGCCACACAAACTTTTTCAGTTGACTTCATTCTGTTTTCTGGATGTGAGGCGCGTCTGAACGCAATGTTATTTTTTATGATTTAAACCCAAACAATGAAACTACATTTAAMCTCAGACAAGAAAACACGCCTAAAAAATGATCAAAACTACTTCATTTCTTATACTTTGTCACATGTAGATGTAAACACACATCAGTGACTGCACACCTAAGAGGCTGAGTAGAATAAAATGTGTGTGAATTATCTAAGAGGTAAAACTGTCAGAGCAGCAGATTAATTCCGAACTCACCTGTGAGAACTCCTCAGGTCAACAAGGTGCAGATAATGACAGACATGTTTATAAATAGCTGCGTAAAGTTGTGTGTAATTTGTGGAACAATGTGTGTGGCTCTGCTGGATGACATCACCAAAGAATAACTGGCAGGCAGCACGTTTTGATGATCACACCAATCAAATATCAATCAGGTTTGTTACTGTAGTTCCTGATTCGAGCCATGCAGCTGAGTGAGAYGACTTCATGATTTAGACCAGTGGTTCCCAAACTTTTTAGACTTGTGTACCCCCTGARCCATTKTGTCATACCACTACCCCTTCCCTTCTGTCAAACGTAATGATGATTCTCCAAAATTATAATGTACAACAGCTGATTATTAAATTTAAATTATTAATTAACCCCCTAGAACGTTTAATTCTCAGGCATTTTATCCTTTTCAACTCAAATTAAACATTAAGATCAAAATGTTGCCTTGGAAGTGAACAAGTAATTAAATAAATAAACCAGGTGCAGAAAACAGCAGCCTCCAAAATACATCAAAAACCCCAAATGAGCAAATTCCGTGTTTTATACAGGATTCCATTTTGTGTCAATTTCATGATTCCGTTTGCATTTTCCACATTGTGGAAATGATAGGGCCCTACATATCTCAGTCCTATTTTTATTTWWTTTTTTTACACACCTGGGAAATTCTTTCACGTACCCCCGTAATATGCTTGTGTACCCCAATGGGTACACGTACCCCTGGTTGGGAATCACTGCTTTAGATGTCTCCTACCCCGAAGCGAAAACTCTCCATTGAGAGTTTCCTCACATCAACTATTTCAAAAATAAAAGGAGGAGAGGAGTCTCACATACGCCCAGTCCTACGTTCGATGACATGTACGTATGAAGGAAAGGAGCGCAGAAACCTGCGTGCACATGGCTCGATAAATCTGAATATTTCTGTGCGAACGTACATTTCCACTTTCGTCCTTACGCAAACTTTTATTACGAAAGCTGCCCACTCTGATACACGAGCCCCTGGTCTCCTCAGGTCCACCAAAACCTTGTTTAAGATGATCTGATTCACAGAAGAAAGCTTGGACCTGGAACAACTCAGATGTGTTGCTGATATCAAAAGTCAAAATTATACTTTTTCACCTGAAAATGATACAGTTTATCAGTGGTGGACACAGTTCCCCTAAAGCACTAATAGGGGAACTAATTTCCTGATTAGTGCTTTAGGGCTTTTGATACTTTTTTAATTTATTAGTGGATAAACGCATTTGCTAAATTTATTAGCAAAATTTAGGAGCACTAATAGGTATTTAAATGTTATTGTTGACAGCTGAAGGTGAAAGCTGTAACGCATTTTGTTCATATGTGTCACTTATCCACTAGGTGACATATTGACAATATTCTGCACACAGTAAATATTGTCTCATTTTGACTTTGAAGAATGTTCCATGGATCAGCTGGGTTATATTAGTGCTTTAGAATTAGATTTTGCTAAATTTTTCTGTGCATTAGTGCTGTAGAATTAGGGGACCTAAATATTTGAGTTAGTGCAACTAATTATTTGATTAGTGCTGCCCACCACTGGAGTTTATTAACTTTGTTCCACTGTCAATAAAACGTGAGTTTATGAGATTTGCAAACCATTGCATCCTGGTTTTCTTCACATTTTACACAACGTTTGCAGATTTTTGGATTTGGGATTRTAAATAGTGATGAGTATGACAGAGTTTGCTGCTGGCGGCAGCTTTTCCCACAAAGACATGTTCTGACACACTGCAACATGAGTACCTCAAACAGTACACAGTACACCCATCAGTATGTATCAGAGCAATCAAAACCCGAAGAATATATTCTCTCACACATAAAGTGTACACAGGACTGTGGTGGGGTTAAAGGTCAGTTTGACTGATTATGATGTTGTCCAGGTGAAAATGGACAAACAGTTCAATTAAAGTGTAGCTATCAGGTGTGAAGACCTCACCTGTTGATGAACACCGGTCTATCTGAACCATTTATGATCAAAGAACTGGCCTCCACCAAAACCACAACAGAGATCATCCCTTATCCATGAGGTGTCCAGAGGAGCACTTTGACATTTCTTTGACACACAGTTATCAGTTTGGACATTCGACAGGTTCACTATGTTCCAGCAGCACCAAGGTCATAATGTTATGACTGAGAGTACACACTCGTGTTGGGAGGGAAACAGACGCCTGTTAGAGTGACACATCACGCTGAGTAGGAGAAAAAGAGGAGTTCAGCAGCTGAAGACAGGGATTTTCCAGGGGAGAGATGATCAGACAGGACATATCCTCCACTGCCTGAGTGTGGGATGATCTTATGTGGAGAAGTGACGGAGTTATAGCCATTTGGTTAGCAACCAGATGACTCTCAGCAACTACCACACCAAACTTTTGTTCTTTCTATGTAAGCTTTGACTGGGCTGTGGTCGTTTTGTTTTGCAAATGTTACTTAACTATGGTAGCCATTTTGAAATAGCTTGACCCCAAAACATATTCAGCTGTAGAGGAATTCTTTTCAATCACATCTGTCCAGTGGTTGGTGAGATATTTTCCTGACAGGCAGACAGGGTTGACTCCAACAGTTCAAAACAAAAACGTTGTTATGTGTTTGGAGGAAATGTTGTGGACAACTCTAAGCTGCTGAAACAATTAGTTGTTTTATTGTACCTAAATGTCAAAAGTCAATTTCTGAAGTGTACTTAAAGTTTAAAAGGGCCTGTGACACGCTTATCCTTCTRCAAATAGTCAAAGAAAATATATTTATATTTAATAAAATTAGCATAATACACATGATTTTACCCATTTTGTCTCATAACTGGCATATTTTCTCTTGAATTTGGCTCAGCACAGTGAAACAGGAAGTGACATGATCAAAGGGGAACTCATTAAGAAAAGAAACTCTGCAGTCTTTGTTTATTGAAACGATCTTATTTAAACTCTTCTTCGACTCTGATAGTGACTCAAAATAATCTAAAGAAAGATCAGATTCTTCTCTAATTATTGTAGCATCGCTCTGTTTACATCCAGGCATTCCCCTTTGACATCACTTCCTGTTTCTYCACATGCAAATATGTCAACAACTGTTCATCTCAACAGCATGAAGTTTGTTTTGCAACATGTTRTCAATGTCCTCTTTTCAAAAAYGCATTCACATTTATTACAAAATATTTGATGTCACAGGCACTTTAAAAGTAAAAGTACTGAGTAGTAGTGAGAGGTTAGAAATATACAAAATGACATTCACTGGGAGGAGGTGGCCTCACAAAAAACAATTTCCTGAAAGCCATAATGACTGTAATATTATATTAAAATGTTCACGTTGACAAAATTGCATATATAAGCTGCAGATATGGTCATGTCCATTCAAACACTATGACACATGTTGGATGTGTCATRTGCAGGTGGGATGGATGTACAAACCAACAGGGTGTCAGAATGTTGTGTTTATACTTCCCATCAAACCACAATTAAATTCAGTCTGAGCAGTGCAATTTATCTGAGAAGGTTTTAATTTTTTTAAGCAATAACAAGCCCAGATGTAATAGAAGACTTTCTACTTCTTACACTTAAAATAGACGGAGTAGAAAGTACAGATCATTGTTAAAATGTAAGAAGAGTTGGCTGAAAAAAGTTTACTCAAGTAGCCTCAGTGTTTTAACTGTACACCTGTTTGTCAGCAGACAACAACACGGTCGCCCGCCTCCCTGCGGCGGCCCACAGAACCAGCACGGAGCCGCCGTGGAGGAACCGACCCACCTGGATGAACTGGATGGTCAGAGCGCTCTTCCCCACTCCTCCTCCTCCCACCACCACCAGCTTGAATCTCTCCTCTCCCTCGCTCATGGTCGGTAGGAAACCGTGTGAGGCTCTTCGGGGCCTGGGTGGGAGTCCCGCCGCGGGTGAGCCGAGGCCACAGACTGTTCGCACGAGGGGAAAAAAAAACAACAAAAAAACTCACGAACACCTCCGCGTTTTACCGCCCCGAGCTGTCCGCGCGCATGTTCTGCCACACCTGAGTATCAAAGTCCGGACCCCTGAACCAACCCGTCTTCTTCTGGGTCTTTTCCTCCCTCTGCTCTGTCCCCAGCCCCGGTCCGGTCCGGTCCGACGCTGCTTCAGAGGGTGGAACCGCTTCCTCTWTGCTCCCTCTTCAAGAAGACTTTACAGAAACAATAAATACAAACTGCAGGTTCAACTTATCCGGAGGAGCAATCGGTGTCGGTTCGACCTACGTTCTTTGTTCCGGTTCACTGTTCGTTAGAACTGAAAACTGTCCGATTTAGAGTCAGGTTTCATGTGTCATTGTCCTTATTTGGTCATTCGGAGGATCCGTGACATCACTTCAGCACACAGGATGTAAAATCAGCGCGAGGCGAGCTCTCAAAACTCCGCCATTAACCGAAGAAGAAGAAGAAGAAGAAGAAGAAACTTCAGATCCGACTGAAGAAAACTCCAGCCTCTTTTTATCCCTGTATCCAGGTGTTTCTCAGACTCAGACAAACTGTAAAGTTTGTTCTGTTTCACTGAATTATTAAAAAACACTGAGATCTCTGCAAATCATAAAACATTGTTTTCAAACTGCTTCAGCACGCTCTGTCCTGTGCCACATTTAGTTTATAACTTTTTGCTGCACTTAGCTTGTGTTCAGCTTTCTTAGCTTTACAGATTTTTTAATGGAGAGTATTTTTTCCCCAGTGAGTCGTGTCTAACATTTCATATTTGTTTTATGGGTAAAAAAAAAAAAAAAAGGTTTCAGGAGCTAAAGAAGACCAAACCCTGCTGTGAACAAATGTGTGCCCTCAGGTAACACATACCTGTTCTCTGTGCAAACCTGCAGCTGCAGGAAACTGAAACTGAAATCAGAGTGACCCCCTGAGCCTCAGAATCGATCTGTTCAAGAAACTTTTTGTTTTTAGCTACTGCAAACTGTTTCTTGTTGTGTTAGAAAAATGAGCCGAAGTGGGTGGAAGCCCATTTGGACAACTCTGAAAATCAATRAGTWTCCTGTAAATCATTAACACTCASTGGAGTGGTTCACAGCTGAGTGCGAAGCTGCTGGGATGAGGATCAGCACCTCTAAACCTGAGTCCATGGCCCTCAGTCCAAACAGGATGGATAGCTCTCTTCAGGTTGGGGTGAGGTTCTGCTCAAGTGGAGGAGTTCAAGTGTCTTGGGTTTTGTTCACAACTGAGGGAAGAATGAAGTAAGACAGATCGGTGCAGCTTCTGCAGTTTTGTGGACTTTGTACCAGTCTGTTGTGGTGAAGAGCTGTAAGGAGTAGCTCTGTTTACTGATTGGTCGACGTTCTTACCCTCACCTGTGGTCTGAACTCTGGGCAGTGACTGAAAGAATGGGATTGTGGATACAGGTGGTTGAAATTAGTTTTCTCCATAGAGTAACTGGACTCTCCCTTAAAGGATAATAATTTCTGTTATCTGGGAGAGTAGACCTGCTGCTCCTCCACGTCGAGAGGAGCCAGTTGAGGTGGTTCATAAGGATGCCTCCTTATGGAGGTGCTTCAGGTATGTCTGACTGGGAGGAGACCCAGAGGAAGACCCTGGACTCTTTGGAGAGACGATGTGTCATGGCTGGCTTCGGAACACCTTGCAGTCCTCCCAGAAGAGCTGGCTGGGGAAAGAGAGGTCTGGACCTCCCTGATCAAGCCCCCGTGACCCGACTCTGGAACAAGAGGATGGATGGATGGATGGATGGATGGATGGATGGATGGATGGATGGATGGATGGATGGATGGATGGATGGATGGACGGATGGATGGATGGATGGACAGATGGATGGATGGATGGATGGATGGATGGATGGATGGATGGATGGATGGATGGACATCCTGTAAGTCATAATTATCAAAGGGCACAGATGTTTGTTTTTTTTTTGTCAATGAACCACTGGACAGATTTTAAACAGTAGTAGCTGGATGTGCATCWATAACTGATGACCTTTTAGAGTCAGCTCTGTTCAAGATGGCCATCTGACCTTGACAAACATTTAGAACAGGTTTTATTTAATACTGAGCAGTGTGGTAGGAGCTGGCACTGGGTGCCACCAAGAGGCGGGCGGGTGGGGGCCAATGCACCTCCCTAAAAATCTGATTGGCCCCCAACTACCTCCCTTGGTCAGACAGTCCATTTCTTCCTGAGTCTCAAGCTTTTATTTGGTGTGCTTTTTAATTTTCTCCAGCTATTTAGGGCATAAACATAAAATCAAACCTTGTTTTGAAAATTTAGGAGTTAAAATTGCAGCGATATGTGGCAGTATGCCCTGTAGGCTTTGAATGCACCACACAAGTGCCTGCATCTAATTGGTTGTGGCGCTGGCTGCCTGTATATAAAGGGCCCTCCCTCTACCTGTGTGACATGTTTGCCTCCCGTTTCAGACTACCATGGTTGCGAGTGCTGCACGCTAGCCCCAGGCAGCTTACCTGTTGCTGTGTTAGACCTTCATCGGCTCCTGCTGGTCGTCATTCTGCCC